TGACTATATTATGTGACGAGGATGAGTTATTGTTTGTGGATTGGATAGAGGGAAGACATGAATGGGGTATAATTTGATGGTGGAAGTTGAATGGTTTTGAAAAAAAAAAGAAAAAAAAAAAAACAAAAAAAAAAGCAAGAGGAATGTTTGTACAGTTGTTTCTATTTTATTATTGACTTGAATAAAGGACGGTTGGGTTTGGTTTTGGGATTCTCTTATATGGTTTGCACGTATTGATCGAAAATGGGTTATGGAATGATTTTGTTGAGCTTGATCATGAATGATGAGTGATGAAGTGGTGTAGTTCATGTTTTGTAGTTCTAGATGCTCAAGTTTTCGTCACTTTATCCATATTTTTCCTACCCTAACCAAAGAGCCTATATTACAACCGAATGAAAGTCCTTTTTGATTCATGAATGGCATGCACGATAGGTGGTGGAGATAGTAGACGATTTGCAAGCTTATGGTAATTCTTTGGCATTGAATTGATTTGAGCGATTATTTTTCCTATATACTTTTGAGAGGGAGAGTATACACTTATCCGGTGAGGTTTGTGGATTGAAAGCATTGACCATGATTTTGATGAAGCATTCTTTTTGTTTAAAAATTCCGGAATTTAGTATGTTACTTGCCCGATGCCTATTGATGATGTGTATGATTGACTTTGAAAGTGTGATTACTTCTATTTGTGTGTTGGTAGGAGTTTGATGCATTGATCGGGACTATCAATGGTTTAAGTTTGGGGGTTTGTTCATGTGTGATTTTACACCATATTTATTGAGTATCTAGAGCTTAGTCATTGCGTTATTGGTGTATAAATCGCATATTTGTGCTTTAATTCTCTATTTGTTGGAAAGGTATTACACGTGCTTGTTTTGTAGATATTTTCACGTATTTTTAGAGCTTGTGGCTATTGGAGGCGCATTGTGAGTACCTAGGACCCCCGATATGATGATGGATTGATGCACGGATGAGAAATATGGAAGAAACGAGTGAAACGGACAAAAAACGAGAGTGCTGGGATGTGACACGGGCAGTGACACGGGCACCATGCCCGTGTCAGGTGGCCGTGTCACATGAACAGGGGCATTCCGAGGCTTGATACCTGACACGACCCGTGACACGGGCTGTGACACGGGCGTGTCAGGCCGTGTCGCGCGCTGGAACAGAATTTTAATACTTGCCTAATTTGACTAGGAGAGGTTTTTGGACACAAGAGGAAGCATATTTAACCTAGTTTGAGAGGCCAAAAAGAGGGGAACACGTTAGAGAGGCTTGGAAACACACAAGAGGAGCAATTGGAAGGCAAAAGGAGATCAACCACAAAGGGATCAAGGAGATTGAAAGATCGACGAGATTCCTAGTTTTTCCTTTCTTCTTTCCTTTTGAACTATTATTGATCATGTTGATTTCTAATATGTCTATGTATTTGAATTCAAACATGAGTAGCTAAATTTCATTGATTCTAAGACATGGTAGTAGATTAATATGTTGGGATTTTGGATGATTTATCATAGTTGATTGTTTTCTTTTGAACCCTATTCAAATATTTTGTTCTTATTTCATGTTTAGAACTTGATCAATTCTTTTACATGTTTGACAATATTGTTCATAATTCGAGAGATGAGTTCAATATTAGGTCTTTAATATTTGACACAATTTACTTGCTTGAATCGAGAGATTAGTAGGTCGTTGTGAGGATATTAGATCTTTTGTTCTAATTGGAGTTGAATTGCATGTGTTGAGTGGAGACGCTAATATATGTGATTTAATCTACGGTTTTATCGATCTCGAGAGGGACGATAGGCTAAAATTGCGATCATCTTATAGGGTAGATAAAGAAAATAGTTAGTTGTGATAAATTTGAAGGAACCCAACTGTTAATTGAACCCATAGTCTTAGAATCTACCATTCCCATATATTCTTCTTAAGTGTTTTTCTAGTTGTTTTCTTATTCTTGCTTTATTTGCGTTGATTTATTTCGTAGTTTAGTTAATCTATCCTATATTCGATTGTCTAAATAAAATTGACACTATCATACTCTTGTACTTGATTAAATAATTATTTGGTCTCTTGGGATACGACCTTGCTTGCCACATACTACGAGCGAAGCCGTACACTTGCGGTCGAGCTTTAAAAATATAGGCGAACAACTTTTCTTATAAATATGTGTACGGGAACTCGTTTTATTCATTCTCTCCTTCTGGGAGACGAACCCTAGGCCCGTAAGAACACAAAAACTCCCTTTCTCATTCTCTCCTTCTTCTCCATCGTTTTTCCTCTTCTCTTCACCATTCTTTTTCATTTTTTTTTTCCTTCTTCTTAATAATTAGGATTAAGCTTGTAACTTGGATTCAACTCTTGAAATTGGATTGATTGTAAGTTTTTCATCTTGTTTAATTCATGAGAATGATTATTTGGGGTGAATTGCTTGAATGTGTTGAATTCATGATACATAGCTAATTTTGATTGCTAGGGATAGGGGATAATTGTTCATGTTTCACGTGTATTTGTCGGGCTAAAATTGTTCATGCTTATGTGAGTTAATTTGATTAGGAATTGATGAAATTATGCTTGATAGTTTGATGTAATCGAAGAGTGACACTTCGATCTTGCAATTGGTAACAATTGGATATTGAGTTGTCGAGTTTGGTTTTGTTGATTCTCGATAATTAGTTGATTAAATACCTTCTAATTGAATTAGCGGCTTTTAGAACCGAAAGGGAAGAAGTCGTAGACCTAGGCTCGCATGAGGTAGATAATTTCGTAATTAAATAGTCTATAGGTTTTGGATTGAAATACGTGTTTGTCAATGACCCGTCCCTTGTTACGAAAAGTTATTGGGATTGGATAATTGACCTGTATTGTATGCTCGAACTTGTTCGTCTATGTTCAATCCCTTGTTACAAAGAGTTATTGGGAGCGAACCGCTAGATGTTTAAACGAGAGTGTCAATCTCGAACCGAACAATTGATTGTCCGGTTTTGCTAAGAACTTGAATAAATTATCCCCGATTCCCTAGCTTCTCCATCTTTGTTCCGTTTATATTTTTAGGTAGATTATTGTTTTATTTTATTTCTTAGTTAATAATTCATCTAATCTGCTATCTGATTAGAGTGTTTAAGATTTATTTCTTTTTGTGTGGAATCAATACCGAAGCTAAATTCCGAACCGTCTTCCTTGAGAGATCGACTCGTGACCGCGCGTCGCGACGCGGCAAATTTAAATTTATAAGTTTTTTTCCTCGACTAACCTCTACTGACTAGTAGTAGCGGCGAGTAAGGGTCGATCCCACGAGGAGCAGGAATTAAATCGTGATTATTCTTGTATTAATTGAATTGAAACTAAGAAAGCAGTAAAAAAGGGGGGGGATTGATTTTATAAAACTAAAAATAAAAATTAAATAAAATGAGAGAAGTCCAGTTTTTCGGTTCAGTTATTACCCAATCTAAATCTACCGTTAATTAATTTCGACGCTTTCTCTAGAATGCTAATGAATTACCAACCCTAGCTAACAACAAGCTCTATTAACCGAATTTTCCTTTACCGAATATTTAATCGAAATAAGCTCTTCGACTAAACCTAACTAATGGACAACCTAGAATATGCTCTCTAGATTTAGTGCATTAGCAGCATTAATGTCTACGAAAATAGATCAGTTTAAGCAACGGACGCACAAGCTCGGACCATTTAGCTTATGCTCACGCTGCCCTAGAGATGCACAACCCCTAGTTTACTACCTAACGAAACGAGACAATAACAATTACGGATTAAAGTCCCGAATGTAGCAATTAAACTATGAACATTCAACGTAGCTGGCCAAACTAAATCAAATACTTATAATTCATAAACATTAAAGACAGATAGCATGAATCAACTCATCAACAAAATAAATACGGCGTTTAGATTAATCAACGATTAACAAAGATCATTCGATTCATAGATAAATCAAACTTAGGGTTCAAACATCTCCTAAAACTGGATAAAAATACTAGCCTAACATACTAATAAAAATAAAAGATAGATAAAAGAGAGAATAAAATCTCCCTCGTGTGTGAGTGCGGCTTCCCTCCGCGTGTGTAGCTCTTTCTCTTTCCCGATGCGTGGGTCTCTGTCCGTGCGTCTGCCTGCGGTTTTTCTTCTCCTTTTTCCTTCGGCGTTTTATTTTTCTCCTGTGCGTGGCGTGAATCCCTTGGAAAAATAATTTCCAAGCAAATATAAGTTCCAGCCAATAAAATCTCCAAGACTTCCAAGTCTAGTGGGCCCTCCAAGACTCCAACAATTCCAAAACCTTTGTGGCTGCGTATTGCATTTCATTTTGTGCCAAACCATCTATCATCTCTATTGGGCCAAATAAACTACTAACGTAATTAGCCCAACAACCAATCTTTTAATCAACTGCGGGGCCCAAATTTTCATGTATTGAGACGCTTTGATTACTGCTCGCATGAACTCTCGCTGACGGTTTCACGTCCACAAAATACTCCAAGAAGCTGAAAATAAATATAAAAATATCAATGTGTATGGATCCATCCAAATAATAAATAAGTCGAAAAATATAAATGTGCGAATAAATTAAGTGTATAAAAATAAACTATTAAACATATAAAATAAGTACATTTTTCGACCTATCAACTCGGAGAACGAATCATTCGATTCGGTACTCGGTAAAAATAATAATTTGTGCTACAACAGCCACATCTGCATCTCCGCGTGTGACCCACGACCACCACATACATGTCGTATGGATTAAATTCTACAGTCAATCATGTATAGTAAACCAAGATAAGATTGGTTAGTATGGGTTAAATCCTACTCTCAATCATGTATAGTAAACCAAAATAAGATTGGTTAAGACGGGATATCACATATCATACGGGAAGTAAACAAAGAGAGTCTAGGAATTGTTTTCCAACTTTGAATAATCGTACTAAACAGTAAACACCATACTACTAAACAAAATCCTCATTTTGAATACAGCCCCGATTAGAATCATCACAATGTCCGAACAGAGTACCCCCGCCGCCGATACTGCCGGCGGCGAACGCACCAAACTCAACGTCGGAGGCAAGCTCTTCGAGACAACCGTATCCACTCTTCGCTCCGGCGGGCCGGATTCCCTCCTATCTGTCCTCTCGAACCGTCCGGGTCACGACCCTGTCTTCATCGACCGTGACCCGGAGATCTTCTCCGTCCTCCTCTCCCTCCTCCGGTCCAACCGCCTCCCTTCCACCGCCAAGCGCTTCTCCAACCAGGAGCTCATCGATGAGGCCCTCTACTTCGGCATCGAGTCCCAGCTCAGGTCCGCGCTCGCCCCGAGTCGACTCAACGGCATAGACGCGTCCCTGCACACCACCGTCAAACCCTCGTCCGACGGCGTCGTCACCGATTTCGACGCCGTCGATTCGGACGGCTCGATTTGGGTGGCCCACGGCGGTCAGATCTCGGTCTACGACTGGAACCTCGGCCACGCAGCGACCGTGCGGACGCATCTGGATTTCATCACGTCCGTCAAAAACATCCAGCCCGAGATCGCGGCCGTCGGATCTCTTCACGGGTCGGGCCTGCACTTCTACAGCATGGCCCATGGGAGCCGGGTCGATTCGGTCGAGTGGGTCGACCCGTCTGATGTGCGTATATACAAGGCCCGAGTCCACGCGGTTGCCGACTCGGCCGACTCGGTTTTTGCCTCTTACGAGTGCCAGCACGGCGAGAACTGCATCCTTATGATCGATAAACCCACGATGAGGATTTCATCCGAAATCGGTAGAATGTCTGGAAATTCCTCAAAAAATCTGGTTCCTACAAAGCTGAAGTATCTCCCAAATATGGGGATTCTATTTGGCAGCTCGGTTACTTCTGGGGCATTCGGGTATTCCGGGTATATCCGTCTGTGGGACCCGAGAACTCGGGACGTGGTTTGGGAGACGAACGAGCCGGGCTCGGGCCGGAGCAGCCGGTTCGGAGACTCGTTCGCGGATAGTGATGTCGACCTAAACGAGCTGTCTTTATTCAAGATTTGCTCTAAATCGGGAGATTTGGCCATGGCAGATTTACGTAAGCTTAGCGATGACCCGTGGATTTATTTGAAGGAAAAGAATCCGAGCATGAGGAATGTGGGCTGCAATGGCGGCGGCAATTTTGTAGTTCATTGTTACCATAATCAAGTGTTTGTCGGGAGGAAAGGTGAGTTGGAGGTTTGGTCGAGGGTGAAGGGTAATGAAAATGAGGAGATTGTGAGCGAAGGGGTTTATAGGAGGAATCATGTGGATAAAATCGAGGATTCGAGTCGAGGTTCTATCAAGAAAATAGAAGGCGGTGGGAATAGGCTCTTCGTGACTAGAGAAGATGTTGAAGGGATTGAAGTTTGGCAGAGCACGTGCAATTCTGGGGTTGTCTCGGTTTTGTGATCGGTAAATATCGTAATGTGTGAGTATCTGTTTGTTTTCTGGAGATTGGACATTCATTTTCTTGATGATCCTGTGTTGGGATTTCTTTGGCAGTTGCAATGTTATTTCTGGCAATTTTCTTGCAAGTTGAATGGGAAATGAGTATCCCAAATGGTAAAGACTGGGCAGTTGAAGTCAGGTTTCTTAGTCTTAAACAATTCGATTGTATTACCAAATCAACATACTGCTAAATTTTCTCCCAATTTTGTTTTTATCTATTTAGTCTATTGTAGTTGCTTGTGAAACTTTCAACCATCATGTCATTAGTACCTGCCCTGAGGTCTTCGCCATATTAACACGGTATTGATTACATGACTTTCTGCATTTTTAATCCACGAAGTATCAATCGATCTTTTACGCGCTACCAAAAAATTATATAAAATAAAGAAAATCCAAAGGGTACAAGAATCTTCCACACTACTAGGCCATCATCTTTGCTATATATAAAACCTCTCTGCAACTAGCTGAAGCATCAATCAGCTGCATTTAATTGCTATTACTATCCAAAACCAGGCAGCTGGTTTCTATTAAGGACCAAGTATTTACAATAAAATTTTACTGGAATTGATAAAGTTTGGTTCTTGTTCTTGTTTTGGCAGGGATAGAGATAACTACAAAGCTCAAATGGTCACAGTAGCTAGAGTAGTGGGTAAGCCAATATAGTTTATTCTCCACCGTTCTCTAATGTTCTTCAGTTATGTGATGATAGTATTGATATTCTTCTTCTTCTTCACGCATGCAGCTGCAATCGTGAATGTCTTTTGGGGTGTCGTCTTGTTATCCCCGGCTAGTGTTCTTGGAAAGCTACTCCATTGGTCTCGAGAAACTCAGCAACATCATTAGTCCAAGCAAATGCATCTATCTTTCGTAACGAGTTGGGCTGCAGGAGTCGATTACATAAGATGCAGAGAGTGATTTAACGAAATTACGCATTTCTCGTGGTTGCTGCATCCTAATCTTGGTCTCGAGGTAGGCTAGGTGAACGAATAACTCCCAGTAATCTATTATGGTATAGATAAAATGCATTTTTTTAGATACAATATGTAAATTATAATGTCATGATATAACTTAATTAAAGTACTCGGAATATGTAAATTATAAAATGCATTTAATGTGAACGAGCCTTAGCCATTGGATCTTCATCACAATGAGAATATAAAAAACTACTGCGAGTTATAATTGATTAAATGCATTTTATAATTTACATATTCTCAGTACTTTATGAAATTATATCATGACATTTTAATTTACATATTGTATCGAAAAAAAATTTCATTTTATCTCTACCATTATAGATCACTGCGAGTTATTCGCTCACCTAGCCTACGTCGAGACCAATGTTGTTGTTGAGTTTCTTGAGACCAATGGAGTAGCTTTCCAAGAACGCTATGGGGACGGCGATGTAGAGATCCATGACCACGACAAATATACTCAGTTTAGGAGTCAAAATCGGCTGTTCCCAACGCTCTCGATAGTTACAAACTCCACCACAAAGATTAGGAGGGGGCCCGACTTTACCGAGTCGCTTCTGGATGGCTTAATGCTGGAACCGAAACTGGTGAAATTTCGGGTGAGGAAGGACTTTATGATGCAGAGGCAGGTGAAATAGTGGGCACTGAAACACCACCACTGTGAATTTGTGAATTTATACTCCATACTGGATGCTTCTGCTCTCCAACATATCTTACAGTGTGGTAAAAACAAAAAAAAATATGATACCGACCCTTTTATTTTCCTGTCACGCTCTGAAGTTCAACTTTTTTTTTAAAAAAAAAAAAATAATTATTATTTTTTGTGTTAAGGCACTGGGACTTTTGACAATGTCGACCCCACCTGTGCTGGCAAACACCACAGGCACGTGCAGAGAGTACAGACCCGAATGCATTGGCCATGTCCAGAAAGTGCTTTTATACACGTCTATGCCCCTAATAGCTTTTGGAATGGCCGGGCACTTGACTTGTTTGACCTCGTTCATTAATGGGCAGTTTAGTGGGGAGGAGCTTGACGGGAGCACGTTCTGGAGATTCTTTTACATCGTCTTGGCCATTGTAACCGTCACTTTTGTTACCGTGGTCCCTCCGATTTGGGATCCCGGCTATATGCACTCTGGTTGCCACTCTCTTGTTTTGTAGCGGCTCGTGCTCGTATAAGTATTTTACGCCGCCCGGAAGCTCTTTGACCTTGTTTTCCTGAGTGTTTGTGGCTGCTTTTTCAAAAATGTCCTATATAAGAGCCCAAGGGATGCTAAAGAACTGTTTGAGTTCACTAATCCTGAGTTTTATAAGGCACCCCACACGAGGAGCTTGAGGTTCGCGTCTCTTTCTCTATCTCATAGCTCTATACACACGATGTTAGGAATTGTTGAAAAATCCTTCTGTTAGAAAAAGTGATTTGTAGTAATACTTAGAATTTAAGAATCTTATACTAATTAAAACATGATATTTTTCATGGGTACAACAGAAAATCGCCTTACACAACAATACAAAGGAAGAAGAGTTAAAAAAAAAAAATTAAAAAAAAAATTGACATCTTTAAAATTAACATTTTTTTTATTTGATATGCTGATGTTTGGACAAGGCAGCCACAATAATACCCACAATACCCCTCGAAGAACAAGCAAATAACATATGGAGGCTCTGCACGGTAACCGAAGTCGAGGAGACCAAAATCATCATCCGCAGGATCCCCGTCTGGACCACCTTCATCCTATGTGGCGTCCTCATATCCGTTAGATTCACCTTCTTCATCGAGCAGCTGGACCATCTCGACCACAAACTCGGCCGCCTAACCGTCCCCACACCACTCCTCCTCTTCTTCTTTGAGCAATCCCAAAACCTATCTGTCAATAAGTACTATTGGACATTGGCTTGGTTGATAGGGGTCGACTTGGTTTTGTTCGTTGTGGTGTCGGTTTTTTATCGGTATAAAGAAGCCGAACTAAGGGATCTTTCGGGGACCGAGTTTGAGGGGATTGATGAAGGGTTTGATGAGAATACCAGTTGTTGTTGTTAGATGTTGGGACAGTAGACTATTTAAGATGAAAAAGGGTGTGTTTTTGTGTTTGTGTTTGTGTTTGTGTCTGTGTTTGTGTCTGTGTGTCCTTAAATCATCAGTAAGTCCTTTTGAGACCAAAGATTGTTTCTTCATTTAACCTTATTATTATATGCGTCACATGTTGAAAAGAAAAAATAGAAATTGGAAATTTGAACTGTTTTTTGTGAACTCGGCTCGAAAATAGGGATTTTATCGTAATAGTCTCTAACTCGACTCGTCAAGGATCGAGTTTACTTTGTTAATACTGATAAATAAATTGAGTTCGGGCTCGGTTATCGGCTTAAGTGGATAAAGCCTCGAGCTGCAGTTTGAAAATCGGGGTAAACTGGCAATTTGACAGCTACTGTTAGAGCATCTCCAATGTTATAGCTTTGAAAGACAATGATTTTTAACACATGTCAATCAATGATTGTAATATTGATCCATGTAGGAATAATGTTAAAAGAATAGAAATTTGAATCAAACTAGTATCTCCAATGCATCAATTTGATAAGAAGTTATTTATATAGGTGGACCAATTAAAATAATCATTAATACAAGAACAATAAAAAGTTATATTAAATATAAAGTGAATTGATTAGTCATCATGTTTAACATGGTGTTAGATATGAGAAAGTGTGTTCAAAATCGTCAACATTAAATGCTATCCACCTCATCATAAAAGAGTTTATGAGAAGATGCATTGAAGAATAAGTTAGTAACATACTTTCAAAAGTTGATGATATAAGAGCATCTCCAATGCTCCACTTTGAACATTAATTAAATTTGAACACGTGTCAAATGATGAATGGAATGTAAATTCATGTAATATGAATGTCAAAAGAGAAGACTTTAACTTGGAATGCACATCTCCAATGCATCCCTTTCAAAAGTTTAAAATAGGTTAGATTTTTTATGATTGGCTTTCAAACACTCTTTGGAAAACTAGAAAGTGGGCTTCACACTTTGGATGTTTATTGTCTCCATGTCAGCATAAAAGAGTCCATAACATTATGGATTGGAGATTAATTTTTGTTTTCACTTTATAACTTGATGATGTGGCTAACATTTTATTAAGTCAACATCTCACATTGGAGATGCTCTAAATAAATTTTTATAATGTCAAAAGCCACGTTGGAAATGCTCTTCGGACCTAGGAACATGACTTTTTTTTTTAAAGCTGTTCTTAGTCAAGAAAGAAATTGTAACTTGTTATAAATACTCAAGATTTGAGGGAATTAACACTCTGTCTCGAGCCCACCGTGCCAAAAAGGACAAGATGCAACTTGAAGGCCAAAATAATACGCAATAATTGCCATGAAAATGAAAAATACACACGCAGCCACAACTAGGAAAAAAAAAAGTATTCTTTATCTTGACAAAAAAACGAGGAAATCTAAGGTTGGGCTTGTTCAAAATGGATTCAAACTTTGTTTTCTCTTNCTAATTATTCTTATTAATGTTTTGGCTTTCAATTAATGTGACATTGTTTGATTTAAGTTTTTACCTCTTTTCATGTTCAGACTCAATAAGACTCCAGCTCGGCTCTGCTCCTTTAAAGCTCAAGCCTCGGCTCGTCAATATTGGTAAACGAGCTGAACCTGAGCTTTGTTTATTGGCTTACTTTGTTAATGTGACATTCTTTTCTATTATTTCTTACTGTCAGCAGATTGTAAAAGGGATTTGGTCTGAAAATGAAAAGCTTTGTCAGAATCTCTGGTAAAGCTGGATTGAACTTTTCTCAAAACCCCTCTCAATTATTGAAGTTAACAGCAACATATTTCAGATTTTATGAACTTGTATGCAATTAAAATCATTCAATCTTTTCTCTTGTGGTTTTGTATTTGCATTTTGCAGCACTTTTATGGGCAGACATATTAGTACTATACGCGTTCTTCGTGATGCAAAACTACCTCACAAATGTATGGAAACTTAGCTTCACTCATGCTGCCGGCATTTTGAACGTATGGGGCGGAATCTCTTTGATGCTGCCCGTTTTCTTTCTATTCCTAGTCGATGCTGTTTTAGGCCACTTCACGATGCTCGTATTTTCCAGCCTGGCATACACCGTGGTTCGGTTTTTTCCACCTCCCGAATTTCGAAAATTCGATACTTCGAAAAGTATTTTCAATATACCCATATATAGATATAGATCTTGAATTTCTTTCTTGAT